CCATAAGTTAGATTCATATGTAAAGTAAATGTATATTACATACACTCTGACAACTTATATTTCTTAGGACTGCTTATGTTGGTTCCAATAATTTACCCGGACTGCTTTCTGGACATGAAATGTAGCAGTTTATCATAAATTTGTCTCTTGCACCTGTTTGAATTACAGCTCAAGAATGCAACATGTCATGTAGCTAATAATGTCTAGATATTCAAGAGTAACATTTATGTCTAATACAGGTGTTTTAGTTTAGAATTGTTCTCTTCTGTAGTTAGAAAATCAATTTTCATTTTTTTCCAAAGAAGATTACCATTGGGCTATTCTGTTTTAGATCTGCTTAAATGGTGAAATTTAAAATATTTCATATCCAATTTTTAGAAATTGAGGAGACCCTAAATTGTTTAAAAAATGGTAATCTGAAAGTTGACTTTGCGGGAAATGGCAAAGAGAGGCGGTTTATTTTTGTCCAATGAAAAGTGTGTGAAAATAGTTGGCATGCTGTAAGATTTAAAACGACTAAAAGGCTTTTATTATAGTAATTCTTTTGGAAGAAATAAATGGTACATGCAAACCAATTTTTTTTCAAATTTATCAGATCTAAGATTACAGTGCTTTTAACTAAACACTAATAACAATAACCATAACAACAGCTGTTTGTTAACAGTTGCAACACCATGGTGACATGAGGAGTATAAATTTTCAAAAATTTTTTAGTGAAGTAATTTTGCTGAAAGACATATCATATTAAGAGTTAGCACCTTCTTTCAAAATATCTGAAGATAACAAATTTAAAAAAAACAGGCAATGTTTCAGAAATGTAGCATAAAACAAGCAATTGAACTTTCAAAGGCCATTGCACTGATAATGACTGTCCTCATTATACAGATAAAATTGTCAATTCATACAGTTCAGTGGAGTGTAACTTTCCAAAATAGTGTCAACTGCTTTATTTAGATTCAATGAAGAGTACTCTGACAAGGAGTTCAGCACAATCCAAGTTCAGTAATTAAAGCAATATTTGAAAAAATTTTCTTTTTGAAAATATTTAAACAGCCTCTCAGTATATGAAAGACTTGGAACATTGAAAGGTCATGGAGCTATAGAAGACTCTTCTCTTGTGGACAATATCAATATTGCTCCTCAGAGGCCAGTTAAATGTTTCTACAACTCGGTAAAGAAAATAAGATTTCAACCTCATTATCAGTAACTTATCTCATACTAGAAATCCAATCTACACTGTATCTTAGAAAGCAAGAACCAAAAGACAGCAGAAACACTAGTTAGAGCTTGCTCAATAAAACTGAATTGTAAGGAGTATGCTCCATATGGGATACTCCACAGACCACAGTCACATGTACACACAAGCTGTAGTATAAATGTTACGGTTATCAGCACAACCAGAAAAGAAAATTAACTTGCAATTGAGCCTGACTAAGATTACATTCATCAGTTTTGACATAGGTCAATCATCAAAAGTTCACATTGAGTAAACAAAAACATTCCCTCATTCTAACCGGTGCAAAAAAAGTTTCACAGTATAATGTCTGCAAAAAAAGTTGTGTCATGTCCATAACTGCAAGTTTTTACCTCAAACTCAAAATCTAACAACACAATAAGGGATAGAACTAGATTTTAAAAAGCTATGAAGCACTTTGTTCTCATTATTATTAAATGACTTTTGTTTGAATAGTCAATTCACAGGAAAATGAGTGTCAAGTGAACACATTAAATTGTAAGTTGATTTTTTTTTTTGTAATGTCCATGACAGAGTTTCAAACAAGAATATTGGCAACATCTGTTAAAGAAAGGAAAGTGCTTTCTCTGCCAATAGTCAATTACCTTGTGAGGAATGTTTGAACAAATTATAAATTCAAAACTGTGCACGATAAGTTTTTTAGGAAATTCGTTTCCAAAAAATGTAACGTCTGTAACATGGAATTGCCCCATTCCATTAAGAGGAAAAAGCTTTCTTCCTAAGTTAATGTTTGAGAAAAGAAAAGAGTTTGAGTCATCTGCAGGATATCAGATCACCTGAGAACATTGCCATAGTTTAAAGTTCTGCCATGCATGTATATGTTCCAGTACCAATAACGAAGGTTTGTTCTGTTACAAATGGTAAGATCCAAGAAGTCATTGGAAAGACTGATATGTTGTATATGCTGGCTTAGAAGAAAAAAATTGTGATAGCCTCAGGCAGAATTTTCCAATACAAAATGGTCACAGACTAACCCCAAGCCATTGAATAACCTATTTTTTTCTACTCTCTTTCTCTCAAATCACAATTGGTGCCTGTGAAAGGTTGGTAACTTATGAAATTGATTTTGTAAATGCAGATGTTTCATTCAATAGGTTACACTTTACAATGCCATCAAAATATAACTCAAAGAGTATTTAGTGTGAGATTTAATTTACCATTCAGATCAATGCTACTATGAATTAATTTCCAAAGTAATATGTTCAGTTTTTATAGGGAAGCTTTCATTTGTTCTTACCCATAATTAGGCATAGTTAAGGTATGTCTTAACAGGTTTGTTGAATTTGGACATTTTCTACTGTCAATTTCACAGCAGAAATGGAAGAAATTCAATGAGTGAAATCCATATTTAACCTCGTGGAGTAAGAAAAATTACCTAGGAAAGACAAGATCTTCACATGACACTAGAGGGCAAAAACAAACAAGTTCTCACAATTTCGAAATGCTTGATATTTGGATTTGATTGCAGTGACCTCCTTGCTGTTAAAAAGTGAAAATAGATAACCTTGAGTTGTCCACAGAAGTGTTGAAAATGGTATAAGATAAACATGTACTGTCAACTTGTTTTAGAAAATAGATAGAAAAAGACAATATGGTGTGTTGATGGTAAAATCTTGACTGCCCTACAAACCAATTAGATTGCGGGGTTGGTTACCATATTTTCTGGAGAAAATATTAATATCCATATCCTTGCTTTTACTTTCAGGAAAATACTTAGCAGCTCATATGTCAACTTGACCTTGAAACTACTAAAAGATAATGGACATCAAATGACCAAGGTTTTCAAACAGGAAAAAAGGTAGCAGGAGGAAATTGTAAAGTAGCCAGAGCACTATGTCATCGCAATAACGGTGGCATTGTGGGGTGGGGTGCTGGAACACGAAAAGTACCCAGCGCAAATGCTTGAAGTAGCCAGTGACTTGCGCTGGGCACCAGCTAAATTTGAAAACCCTATATGACATTAAATATGACACATAAGAGTATTATCATAATGTTTGATGCATTCAATTGGCTGTCCATTTTTTAGGATTGCTAAAAGTAGCTTGAAAAAGTGTGACAAAAATCTTCATTTCATATTAAAACCATTGCAAACTAACACTTGAAAGCTTCTGTCAGAACTGGGGAACTAGTAGAAGCTGAACTTGATAAAACTAAAATTGAATATATCAGAACAAGAGTATAGTACTGTACTGGTAGATGGGTTTGAGGAAACTGTTGTCACGATGAGAGAAAATAAAAGCAGAAACTCACTGATTGAATTCAAATGCATGAGATCCCAAGAACTTTTCACAATTTTGACAACAGTGTGCATTTAGACAGAACAGTTTACAACAATAACTAAAACCTGAACAAAGGGAAAATTTTTGTTTTTTTCTTTTTCGAATCAGTTCAATTTTTATTTTCCTTTGTTTATACAGTATCATCACAATGAATACAAGACAAAGGAAAATTAAAATAAAAGTGGCATGAAAACTTTTAAATTGGGGAAAGATAACCACAAAAAGTGAATTGTACCATAATAATTACAGTTGTGTAACTCAATTGAATGAAAGAGAGTCTCTACAATAGAGATCAAGTTGCATTGTAAGGACTACATTTGATCAGTTAGAAAAAATCAGTTTAATTTTAATTTTCCTTTGTTTATATCATGACAATGAAAACAAAGCAAAGGAAATTAAAATCGACTGGTGTAGAAATTTTTTAAATTGCAGAAAGATCAACCACAAAAAAGTGAAATGTGCCATTCAGTGACAATTAATTGTGTAACTCAATTAAATGAACGAGAGTCTCTACAACAGAGATCAAGTTGCATTAGTTCAGTAAGAGGGTTCTTGTATGATACCATTAACTACACAAAACTTATTGTAAACATGATCTGAAACTCCTTTGAAAGATTTTGCTGGAGCATCTTAACCTTTTATCCTAAGAGTGACTAGCATTTGCCTCCTGTCACTTCTGAATCAAACATGAAGGTCATAAGGATAAGACGAATCTTCCTTGTCAGTGGCTTGTTTTTGAGAACCGTGTGGAGAATATGCATACTGATCCTGGGGTGTAAAAAGTTATGAAAGAAGATGAAAGCAGAAAAGCTCTGTGGGATAATAACACCACACAGACAAAGATATTTCAGACCAACTTTCGTAAGGTTTCTAAACACTTAGAAGCGTTTTTAAACCAAAACCCAACAAAGTAACCATATCACAAGGAGCCATTGTTAACTCAAAAAGAACAGAATCAAGCAGTGAACTGCTCAAAGTGCATGAAAGTGCAAGTGACTGATTAATGCACCAGTTGGTACATGCGCGATTGGATAGCAATACTGCAACATAACATAACCAACATAGGAGATAGTTGTAAGCCCAGTGTTGGCAGTTTTGGAAGAGTATGACCAATAGTTATCAAATGATAAAATTATGCGAATAGTCATCTTATTTTAAGAAAGCAGAATATAAGTAACTGTTTTAGAGAACGACTTGTGTGAAAATTGTTTGCGTAGTAAATAGTTTTGCAAAAAAAAGTGGTCCTTTTGAGACCACTGTGTTTTGAGAAAACCGTTTAAACGAAGCGTTTCGTTTATCGGCAGATTTTTTAAAAAATTTTTTTACCTCTTGTAACTCTCCCCTCGCCCTAAATGCACGCCTGCAACTACCTCTGCTCAGTTTCCATCTAGTTCAGAGCATTTTGGGGCTTAAAGTGTTCAAGTAGCCTACTTTATTTATTCACCGCAGAAAAGCCATTCAAATATCTAACCTTTTTTGAAGGCTGCTATTTCTGGTGATTCTTCGGTCTTTGGGAACAAAACTTCCATCACAGGCCCATGTTCCTTTTGCCGGAAGTAAAACGGCTTTGATAGCTGTTCTTCAAATTCTTCATTAACTGGATAGTTGTTAAGAACACGTCCATAAAGCACGCGCCTCAGTCTGGGTTCCCGGATATCTAACTTGTAAAGATGCACGGATGTACCTGCCTCGTTTTCACGTGACACAGCAGTAATGTCGACCTGCAAATAATTCAACGCTGGTTATTCAGTGTTAGATCTTTGGCCAGTTCATTTGAAGGCTCCCTCCTTGTCCAAAGTGGCTAGCAGTTCGTTGCCTTTGGTGATTAACAATTACTGGTCCGACTTTAGATCATTACACGTTTAACCCTCTAAATAAAATTACAATATTTGACCCTGACACTCTGCAAACATGTATTACCTCCACCATTAGTCATGCGATTTACACGAAATCTAGGAGTCTCTGACATGAAGCTACACTATGAAAACACCTTTGGTGTAGTACTCACCAGGGTGTGAACTTGAAAACCGTCACTCTCTGTAGACTTAGAGCCTCGTGCAGTGTGAACTGCTAGCTCATAGGAATAAGTACATTTAGATTGTTGGAGAAATGACAGGCGCTTTTCGTTCGGATCTTTAGACGCTGTGACATTTGTACGGAAAGCCACAACGGAAAACTGCAGTAACAAGACGATCAAGCAGTGCCATTCCATGACAGCTGCTTTTTTTTGCACTGTTGTTAAAGTGGTCAGAACGTGTCTAAGCGAGTAAAAGATCTGACACCAAAGTAAATCTCGGACTTAATCAGTATTTTAACTCCACTGACACTTGTCTCCTGCGGCTATTTACGATGACTTGGGGTCATGCGGTCTTTGAACATCTATAAAGTTGACCTGGAAACGTTTCTGCAGATTTCAGGACAAAAGAAATTGCTACTGTACCGCTGTTTGCATTCTGACTATATTGTGCAAAATAAAACTGTTTTTTCTTCATAACTGACTACAAGGTCAACTTTTCCTCAGTTGTATCCATGTCTAACTACATTGTGCAACATTTCTAAGTATTTTTTGATTATTGAAAAAGTTAACGAAATATGCAGACAGGGTAAAAAAAACAAACACTCCAGCTTTTTGTTTTTGTTTTGTCTGAGGAGGAAAACTTGCTTTGTTCAATGGCCTCTGGGAAAGAACTTCGAAAATAGAATCTGTCAAGTATTCGAAACAGCTTAAATACTGTTTAAAGAATTACATGTACGTAAGTAAATGAGGTCTTCCGCTAATTGTTTATTTGTTTGGCTGTGTTTCAATTTACATCCCGTAATCTCCTGTTGCATGTTATTTTGCCTTTATGTATGATGGAGATGCCTGATTCGTTTGAAAATGATTTTGTCCTGAATAAGACCCTTTACACCCTATCTTCAGTATGGGTATTGTACATACTGTTCTTCATTCAACCCCTATTGTCATGACAAATGTTGACATTTTCACCTTCATCCTCACGCTTTCTTTTAATGAGACATGAGACGCGATGAGTTGTTTTAGTGCACTATTTTAAAAAAAATTAGAAAGATTTCAAAATGAAAATGGGCGAGTAAAATCTACCACTAATTGTTTATTTGTTTTCCAACTTTTCAATTTAAGCCCCGTAATCTGCCGCTCGTATTGCATGTAATTTTGCTTTTGTGTAACAATATAGCCTTTCTATCTTTTACAAACAAAAAACTGATTGCGTGCAGCGACAAAGGAATACTCGATCACGCTTGCAGTAAAGTGCTCGCAGGAGGTCAAGGGGTCATATGTGAGTCTTCTCAACGAATGTTGTGCCTGAAACTTTTATGAAATATAACCCGGAAAGAGGAAAGATTTGCTCTGTTCAAGGCAAGGGAAAACCATCTTTGTGCGTAAGATGGCAAAAATAACGACTTTTCTAGTATGGCTTTGCATTGTCATGTTATTTTCTGAAACTTGTTACGCATTTTGGAGTAGACGTCGCCGACGTCGCAGGCCGCCTCCACCTCCACCTTGTGTTCCCCGCAATTGCGTAGTTAGCCATTGGTCAAATTATGGCAGTTGTTCTTATCCTTGTGGTACAGGTGGTGTGCAATGGAAAACGCGCTATGTTAAAAAAGCTCAGAGCTGTGGCGGACAATGTCCGTATCATTTGAGAGAGTCAAAAGCGTGTAACGTAGGGCTTTGCGCAAATCATGGCCGACCCCACAGTACAGGTTGCAGTTGTAGAGCGGGATATACTGGAAAGTGTTGCCACAATGGTAAGTACCTTACGATCTTAGCGCAGCATTCAGAATGACCGGCTCATTTTTCCTCGTGGCCATGCAGAGAAGCAAAACATAATGAGAAATTCCTGATTATGACCGTGATGTAGTTGTGAAATAGTTAAATTGATCTCTTCCTTTGAATTTGACCCAAGTTAAAATCCAAAAGGCACCGCCTTAATTTGGCTCTTTCTCTCGCTGCAATTTATTGACTGAGGTTAAAACCGCTAAGAGCCATCACTAATTTCAAATTCATCAAGACGTGGGAGAGAAAGAGTGCCTGCTGATTCTCTCACCAAAGAACTTAAAATGTTGGTCCAACTTAACTGAGTTATCTGCTCTTTTTTCCTCATAACTTACCATAGCATGGATCTGAGAACCGTCAGTTGCCGTAGACTTGGATCCTCGTGCAGTATGAACTGCCAGCTCGTAGGAATAGGTGCATTTGGAATGTTGGTCAAATGATAGTCTCTTTTCTTGAATTTTGTCTGATGCTGCAGCGTTTTCGTGAAAAGCTACGGCAGAAACTATAACTAACAGTACAGTCCAGCAGTGCCAATCCATGACGACTGCTTCCTTATGAACTGCTATTTAGCGGCTCGAGTCACCTTTGATGTTTCTTATACTCTGTTACTATGGCCAAACTTAAAGCATCCGGAATTGATTATCGAATTATACTATGCTGTTACGATGTCATGAGGTCAATTTTTTTGTTCGGAATTTGTCGGAATAAAGAACTACTTAGGAAAAAAATTGGTTTATAGAATTATTGCGGAAATAGAGTCATTTTTTTTAGAAGATTACTCTGAAAAGTAATAAATTTATTTTTAATTCTTTCGGAAACTGGTTTTCTTATCGTGGGCGCAGTGTTTAGAAATGTATTCAGTTCATTCAAGCTTCTGTCAATGTCGATACCACTAAGATATATCCTGAATGTAGGAAGGGATTTTTTTTTTAGCGGGAAATAATTTAAAACAACAAACAAAAGCTTTGAGATCAAATTAAACTTGCATATTCATGTACCCTTAAATAACATACGTCAATTTGTCTGAAAGGACGTTATCTCTCGCGGATTGAATTTACTCCAAATGTGCAGTTACAATGTCATGGGTCACTCGGTAAACACGTTTCATATTATTTAAAATTGAATAACAACATGCTTTTCTAAATTTCTCTTACGAGAAAAGCAGTCGACCTCATCTTGTTAAGTACTGTTTGTATGATTTCAGTTTTGTTGCTGTCTGTGTGAAAATTAACTCTGACTTATCCGACATCATTCAAATATTAGGAAATGTTGATACCAGAATAATGCCTCCCTCTTCTCTCTTGAAAGGACAATTTTATTTTAGCTCAGGATAACTCTAACCATCATGAAATATTTTTAATTGAGGTCATAAGGTGCTGTTACAGCGATTTTTAAGAGCAACTGAAACGTTACTGTACAACAAAATGCAAATTTTTCGGTGTTTTTTTGTTATGTTTTGTTTGTTTTCTTTTTTCCAACGTAGTCTCGATTTAACCACGAAACAATTATTATTTGGTAATCGCTCTTAATCTTTTTAAAAACAAATTAGAGACCCAGCACTTGCGGTACCTAAGAAATAAAAAGTGCTTCCTTGTATCTGTTTTCAGCTGTTGATGCGATGTCATAGGTCACAGTTCTCGGCTTTAACATGAAAAAGGTGCGACTTCCCTTTACAAATTGCCTTAGAATATACGCCGCCTTGCATGCTCTGTCTTCATTTTGAGACTCTGTTGCTTGGAGAGTATTAAAGCTACCTTTCTTGCATACAATGGTAAAAGTATCGACAATGTTTGTGTGGCTCTGTATCGCCATGCTTTTCATTGAATCCTGTCACTCATGGTGGGATAGGCGACGTCGTAGACGGAGTCCGCCGCCGCCGCCTTGCGCCGATTGTAGAGTTAGCGGTTGGTCCAGCTGGGGTGGTTGTTCTTATCCTTGTGGGAATGGTGGTGTACAGTGGAGATCGCGCCATGTAACCATCTCTCAGAATCACTGCGGTTCATGCTCATATCATATGCGAGAATCAAAGCGGTGCAATATAGGGCTGTGTGCAAATTATGGCCGACCGCACAGTTCGGGCTGTTATTGCAGATTAGGATATACTGGAACGTGCTGCAGGGCTGGTGAGTTCTTAGTCTGCCTATATTTCTTCTCTGAACTAACCGTGAAAACGTCGTGATTTGTGCTAAATCTGTCGGTTAACTTTCCAATATATTCCTAATATTTAGGTCGCGCTCTAGGAAGTGAGTTTTGCAAACGGAACTTACCTCTTTCAGGGCGAAATATTTTTTATTTCCCTTTCGCATGGTAGAAATTCATTGAGCACGCTTACGATTTTTTCAGCCTGTTTTCTAAAACTTCTCACAAGTGATGATGGAGATCCCTGATAGTTTTTCAAAGTGATTTTGTCTTTAACTTAACCCTTTACACTTTTACATCAGCATGCATATTCCCCATTCTGTTCTCCACACAATTCCTATAGTATTCACAAGGAAAATGTGGTTAACAGAACGCTCAAAAACTTCTTTAGTTTGGTGGTGATTTCCGCTTTTTTTCTCAAAACCGTTTTGTTTGATTTAATGGTAATACTGTAAGGAGATAGTAGATGCTTATAACTCTGCGGGGTTAAAGGGGTCCAAGGAAGACAGAACCTCAATAGATAAGTCTGAACAGCTCCGTGCAAACTTTCGCTGGGTGAAAATTTAGGAAAAATTTCGATTAAAAGTGCTCCCTGTTTTTCTCTAGCTTTTGCAGCATACGCTCATTAGTGAGCTAAAGCGTTTAACGATTACGGATTCCACACAATTTAATTTTCTTTTCCTTTCTTCATGGAACAAATAAAGGCGGTAAAGACTAAGCATCGTGTCATCATCTGCTGCTACTAAATCATGAGGTCGAATCGATTTTGTCTGGAATTACGGTCATAATACCACTTCATGGGAGCAGATTATTGATGTTAGTGTTTCGAAGAAATACAAAGAAACTTCGGTGCTGGATTTAAAATCTTTAATGATGAGATTGTTCTCTAGCTTGCACAGAAAACTTGCGCCTCTGTCTTTTGTTCGCGAACGTAACGCTCTGGTTGCTCGATTTGCCATGCACTCATACCTCTGGATTGATGTGAAATTCTCCTTCCCTGAGTTGTGATGGTGTTTTTTTTAAAGGGAAATCATCTTTGAATGACCACAGATTTCTTATTCTTTCAGAAAATTCATCCTGTTTTCGTACACGAGGACGAACTTTCTACATCTTGTACCTGCGAAATGTACAATTGCATCAATAAGCATTGATTCATAGACTGATTGCTTTCTTTTAGCCATCTTTGTGAAGCTTAAATGGGATTTAAATATGCGTTTATCTCATTAGCTTAGTATTCAACACCGATTTTCCAAAATAAATTTCCTCGGCAATTCTTTTTTTTGTTCTTAAATAAGCGACTCATTTAGAACAAAACATAAACTAATGTTAAATATCTTTTTCTCATCAGATGTCAACGAGTGTAACTCAAACCCATGCCAACATATTTGCCATAACACTTATGGAAGTTTTACTTGCCAATGTCACCCATGCTATACAAAACTTGGCCGCCAGTGTGAGCTGAGGCAGTGTCAAATAAATGGTCATCAGTGCTTTTCATACGGGACTATAAATCCATCCAATTCTTGCCAGGTAATGATCTTTCAAAGCTTATCAATATTAGCGTATAAAGGTATATGTAACTTACGTATAGATACGATGCCTTTTAGGCAAATTTTTTTCCTTTTTTTACTTGAGCCCGATTGCTATGTGTTGATTTTATAATTACCAGAGAGCAAGAGGGCCTTAAACACAGGTCTCACCTCTTACCTGGTGCGTAGACTATCAGCGAGTTGCAAGCTAGAAATCTTCATAAGTCGGAATTCGAATACATCTTTCAGTAACGGACTATAAAACACTTTTCAACTGATTGACGTGTAGCTAAAACTAAAAGTATTCACGAAGGCCATTCAAAACGAAGTGAGATGTCATTCATAACAAATTATGTACTATATTTTGAAGTTCTTTTGTCAAACACAGTTTAAAACTTTTTTCATAAAGTTGCTGGCAATGGTGTTCGTCGACTTCGAATTTAGCACGATGAAAATATAAGTTAGTGATAACTTGAGACCCCGGGAAATTAAGTTTTTTGTTAGTTTTCTGAAGCTAATTTTCATTTAGTTTAACCTGGTTTAACTAAACATCTTTGCTGGTGTGAAGGGAGCATAAGTCGTGATAGGCTGAAGTCTTGGATCTCAAGTCTTGGATCTCAAGTCTTGGATCTCAAGTCTTGGATCTCAAGTCTTGGATCTGAAGAGGGTGGGACGAGTTTTATAGACTGATCACAGAGCGAAGTAAAGCAACACTGAGCACAACAATGCAGAATTTCTAAATATAATAACCATGCCTTAGGCAAACCAGGGAGAAATATTGGAAATTACTTGCTGCACGAAAAAGCTGATTTGCCTTTAAGTTGACAATGACCTTCGCACCTTCTTTATCAATTCAGAAATGCCATACTTCCAAGCAAAAATCATGGACCAATGATGATTCTTTGCCATGCAATGATGGCGTTGCTTGTACTAGAAACGACCATTGCTCCAATGGAAGATGTATTGGTACTCCATTCTCATGCTTATCATGTGAAGAATGTTACAACGATGCATGCCGCATCCAGCCTGGACACTGTATTATCATCGTGGCAGGAGTGAGAACCTGTTTTGCTCATGGCGAACTGAGGCCAGGATATCCATGCCAGGTAATTGTGGTGTCAGTGAATCATCATATATAATAAAGCCAAAGGAGTCAATCGCAGCCGATTTTTTTTTTATCAGATTCATATGGAGTACAGTAATTTATCTTCATTAGTTGAGGTTTAGGTGATGACAAAAGCAAGCAATCTGGACACTACGTTTTGACTCGCAATGAAACATTTCAGACGCTATTAACCTACACAAAGTGCATTGCTCTGTAATCATACCCAGGCATGAAAATAATCACATCTCACATATGCATGGTTTGATAGCCAGAGGGTGTCACAAATGTGAGCAAGACACAATAATTTGCGATTCCTGTTTTGTTTGCTGGACCAGAAAAAGGCTATAATTTGCATACCAGTGGATCATATAAATTTCCCTTTTTGTATTTTTGCTAGATGAGTTGAGTTTACAATCTGAATGAAACGGACCATTGAATATTGCAGCTTAGAGGAAATGTCATTCATAAGAATAAGTAAACGTTATTTATTTCAGCAATGTGACAGAAATAACATAAACAAGTGGACTATCAACAACAACCTGCCATGCAGTGACAACAACATGAGGACCAAGGACGACCACTGTGTGACTGGAATATGTGTGGGTACATTCTACAATTGTCCCTCATGTGAAGCACATGATGGCAGTGGCTGTCCCATTAAACCCGGTTATTGTGTCATACAGCACCGTGGCCAAAAGACATGCTTTGCTCGGAATCAGTATAAACCTGGAAATCCATGTCAGGTGTGTAGTGACTCAAAACAGTACCTTTTAAGTTTCAAACTTGAGGGATATCGATTGACAATTATCACTAAATATTCCCCTAGATTTAATTAGGCCGTGCTGGGTCTCGTGACGCACCTTGACCAATAGCGTGCGAACATTATTTCCTGGATTACGATAATGGCGGTTTTGTTTGGCCTTTAATTGACAACTAGTCTACCTCTTTAATCAATTCAAAGAGAAGTGCAGCAGTTCCTTTGGTATTCAACTCCTCTTCTTCTAGAAAATTGCTGATTAAGGCCTTTTTGGGAAACTAAAGTAATCTACAATTGCATTGTTTTTGGTTTGATTTTTCTAAAAACTAACCTCACCCTCTTAAATGTAACACCTTGCAATTGCTTACTATGTTTTCCTGTGCCTAAAATCCCATTGATCGCTTTTTAAATTTGGCATTGTTTTGATGGTCCATGTTATCCGTTTTGTTACTGTTTGAGCCAATCATCAAAATTCGTTCTAGAGGAGACATTTTCCATACTTAGAGGCTAGTGCGAAACCAACGATACCTCAATGTAATTGTAACCGTTTTGAAGTCAGCTTATATAACTATCTATTTCCATTTTGCAGTAGCTGACTTTAGTATTTTATTAAATTATGCTATGATATTTTCTCAATCTTTTCTTTCACTTTTAGTGGTGTAATCCAGGAGGCAACAACAACGCATGGTCAAATCGAGATGGTATGGCATGTGATGATGGAAATGGGTGCACCCGTGGAGACAAATGCATCGGCGGCCAGTGCAGTGGCATTCCCTTCACTTGCAACTCCCTTTGTCAATTCTGTAATGGCACCAGCTGCACCCTGAAAACTGGATTTGGATTTGTGAATAAAACGTGCATGTGCAAAATAGCAGGTAACTGATACACTATTTGGCAGTAACAGGTTCCTTTAAGCTCTTTCGATGGTTTGCTGGTTATGTTGATTGAATGAGTTTCAACTTTTGAGTTGGCTCTCACCCAAACAAACTCCTTGTCTACAATTTTTAAAATTTTATTTCAAACCATGGACTTTGATAAGAAAATCGTTTGTTGACAACACGAGAACCATCAGCAAATCTAGTTCTGCTGTAGAGCAGAATGTAAAATTTGGTTTTCAACTTTTTCTTCAAAGACTTCAGAATCCAATATTCTGTAACATTACTTTAGTTTTGAGTGACGTTCCTATGTCGATACTTTACCTCCCTTAGACAGAGACTATAGTCACCAAGCCGTAAATCCATCAAATCAGTGTCAGTGGTGTGACCTGTATGATACGGCAGCTCGTGCCAACAGCGCTTGGAGTAATCGTCCAGCGGTGCCTTGCGACGATGGAAACAAATGCACAATGCAAGATACGTGTAACGCTGGCAGGTGCAGTATTTCAAATCTCGTTTGTCAAACTGTTTATTCATCGAATTCGAAATAATGCCCTCTTGTCTTTCCCTGATTCAAGGTTAGCGCATTCACTTCATAATTATTACTAGTGGAAGGGATTATATTTTGCTACTGGTATCCCTCTGAAACTGGGGGATTCCATTACCTGGCATGAAATCATGTCTTTTTGATTTGGATGTCGCAGATGCAAGCCTAATTTTAAGTCTGACCTATAATTTACAATGTTTGTTTGTTTGTTTTCCTGTTTGTTTGTTTTGTTTATTTTCATTTCCATTGAGCCTTTTCTTTGTAGATGGGCATATTTCAGTTTCATTCTTAGTCAACGTTTGAATTCTTATTGATACTCGTGCTCTAGTAAAACTGAGCTTCAGACTGAAGATTCGCCGCACAGGTTGATAGCGACTGTAATAAAACAGTTCAGTAACTTATTTGTTGACCTTTCAGGTGTGCAGGTCTGGGATACTCTTGTCACTCGTCTCAACCAACACCAAGTTGTATTAAGGCCTCTGAATGTGTTGGGGATGGCACTTGCAGGCCTTCACTGAAGTCAAATAGAACCATTTGTCGACCTGCTCTTGACGCTTGTGATCAACCGGAGAGGTAAGATAAAAGATGTACATGCACATAAACTGTCATTTTTAAGAGACTGTTTGCAGTATCTTGACTAGTACAAGGAGGAAATTTATTCAAACATGCATGGAAGAATAGAGCTCTGTGGAGGTTGAAACAAAAATATGCAACTCGAGAAATGAAATGCTTTTTCAAAGATTTGCTCAAACGTGTAAAGCAACTCTCCTCTTTCCTCTTTTTAAGCAGAAAGGATAGCAGACAGGAGAAATCATTTGCGCAACAACCACCTCTTCATGTTTAGTTCCTGTTGAAATTTCAGACTTTTTATCATGTTCTTTGTTCATAAGGTGTGATGGTATCCTTGGAAGCTGCCCTGGAATAGTGAGAGATGACATTTTCATTAAAATTGGCGAGGTGCATATTGTCGATTCAAAGCAACAATCGCCAATTCAGTACCAATATATCACAGACAGACTTTTTCTGAAGATTTCCGGCTTTTCATCGACGTGTGGTAGCATCTCTCTCAGATGGTCCTTACTGTTGGGCTCGTCACCTTGTTCTTTTAATGTAAATATAAGCGGAACTTTAAAAAGTAACAACGAATATCAAACTGTTAGAGGACTAAGCCTCCAAGATATGACATCTTATAAAATATTCATAAGGGCATCCGACTTGAGAGGGAAAATTTACCAACCAGTCTGCAGTAAAGCCGTAGTTATAGATACCTCAAAGCCACAAGGTGGATGGGTCCACGATGGACCTCGAGCCGACCTAAGTTATCAAGCTTCTGAATTAATGCAAGTGAACTGGGGGGGAGTACAGGCAAGACACGGCGTCAGCAAGTATGAATGGAAAGTTCTTGTTACCTCATTGGTCACAAACAAAACCATCGAGCTAATGCCGTTTACTACAGCAAACCTCAATACTAACGCACAAAGGGGTTTTGACAACATGGAAGATGGTTCCAAAGTAACATTTATCGTCAGAGTCTTCACCAAAGCGGGCCTGTTTTCGGAACTCACAAGCGATGGAGTCATAATTGACACATCAGCGCCTATTGCGGGGAAGGTAAATGACGGTAACCAAATTGGCAGGGATTTAAAGTACGCCAACTGGACGAGCACATTCACCGCAAACTGGGAACAGTTCACCGATCCACATTCTCCCATAGCACGCTACACGTTGGCGGTTCAGCGAGAAGGTACCGGTCTCATAACCACTTTTAAGGCCACAGCCCAGGACCGTTCGTCCACAGTGGATAACGTGAATCTTGTTTCCAAGGAAAGCTACTGCGCAGTTGTCAGAGGCTACAACGAAGCTGGTCTGTACAGCCAAGTAAAGTCTGACTGTTTACTAATAGACCATGATGCCCCACACGCCGGCACTGTCAACGATGGGCACTTCAGTGACATTGACTATCAATCAGACAATACCATGATCGCGGCAAACTGGCATGGCTTCACAGACGGGTACAAAGGAAGCGGCATCTCGGAGTACAAGTACAAAGTTATGGATAGCAGTGGTAGCACCATCATTCCCTGGACATCAGCAGGAAATTCAACGAACATAACCCATAATGGGCTGACTTTGAGTAATAGCATAAAGTACTTCGTTATTGTGAAGGCAATCGATGCAGTTGGTCTGAGCGTTGACGTGACTTCGGATGGCTTTAACGTGGATAAAACACATCCAGTGTTTACAGGAAAAATTACAGTAACTGGTAAGGATGACGTTCTTAATGGCACCCCTTGTGTCTACATACCAAGTATATCGTCAGTGAGAGTGAAGTGGTTGGGTTTCTCCGATGCTCATAGTGGTCTCAAGAGTTACCTTTGGGCCATTGTTCTCTCGGATAGTACACCAATGGACTCTGACTTCAAAATTGTGCCAGGACCTAATTTGCCAACGTCTGCAAGTTTCAGTGGCTTGGCGTTGACTCAAGGAAAAGGTTATGTTTTCATCATAAGGGCTTACAATGGAGCAAATAGATTTAAAGATGCCCGCTCGGTACTCATCGTACCTGACTCCACCCCCCCTTCCCCTGGATATCTGTTCGATGGACCTAATCCCCAGATAGATGTCGACTATCAGGCTGATTTGAGACATGTTTATGCTTCCTGGACAAAGTTCCCAGAGCCGCACACTGAAGTCAAACAGTACTATCTCGCAGTAGGAAGCTGTATGACAGGAAACTATCACGTTACTGGTAACACATTCATCGAAGTTTCCCCTTCAACAACAACTTCATTCGTGTTAGCCAATGTTTCGCTGACGAATGGCCAGAAGTACTGTGTAAAACTCAAGGCTGAAAACAAAGCAGGGTTAGTGAGTTTGGAAGTATCTTCAGATGGTTTCATCGCTGATGCGACGCCTCCAAGTGCACGTAAGGCTCAAGTTCGTGATGGAAACACTGGTTCAGACCTTGATTTTCAGGAGAGTAACACAACGTTATCGTCTCAGTGGGACGAGTTTGCAGATCCAGAGTCTGGAATTGAGCGTTATGAGTATGGAGTGAGCAGAAATCGTGCAGGTGTACCCAATATTCTCCCGTTTCAAAACGTTGGAATGAACACTTCGGCTGCTATGACTGGCCTCACACTTACAGATGGTGTCTATTATGTTCTTGTCTGTGCCTTGAACAAAGCCGGACTTCGTAAATGCATAAGTTCTGACGGAGTCCTAATTGACCTTTCCCTTCCAAGCCATGGTGTAGTGCATGATGGGATCATGGCACCTGATAGGAATTATCAGTCCTCTCTAACAAGTATTGCTGCAAACTGGGAAGGAATCTGGGATTTAGACAGCGGAATTGAGAAATTTGAATGGAGTATCGGCACTAGCAATCATGAAAAAACCAGTGTTCTAAACTACACCGATGTTGGTCTCTCAACACACGTCAGAAGTCACGGAAATCTAAACTTGATCAGTGGTAAAAAGTATTATGTGCACTTGAAGGTCACAAATCAGGCGGGAGGTGTTAGGGAACTTTCTTCAGATGGTATTGTTGCGGATGGGACTCCACCAATCCCTAGCGCAATTTACCCAGGCTCTGGGTCTAATAGTAAGTGGAACTACAACGATCAGGAGCAAGTCTTCTATTCTGATGATACGTCTGCCTTTCATGTTTATTGGGACGAATTTTCTGAGCCTGAGAGTGAAATTTGGTACTACAAATGGGCTATAGGTACAAGCAAGTGTGGGACTCAAGTCCAACCGCTTATAAACATCGGGCAATCAAACTACGTCAACAGTACAAAGACAGACTTGGTTTTTAGATATGGAGTGAAATATTTTGTCACTGTGACGGCCAGGAACCGAGCTGGTCTTGTCTCACAATCGTGCTCTGATGCATTCATCTTTGACAGAACGCCGCCTCTGTCAGGAAAAGTCAATTTCGAAGAAGCGTCAAGTAAAACTGCAAATAAAACGTTTCTCAGTAACATTAACGTCTCCATGTCGTGGGAAGGATTTACAGATCAGGAGAGTGGTATAAGAGCGTGCAACGTTTCAGTACTTGACGGTGCTGGAAAAGCATTATTCACCACATCATCCAATGCCTCCTCAGGTAATCTTACGATACCCGGTAATATTACGCTTCATCGTGGTGAATACACTGCCCATGTAAAGTGCATCAACAATGCTCGTCTTTTTTCTATGTCCTCTGCGTTATTTGTGATAGACAATACACCACCCTTTTCAAAAGGCCCTATTGTAGCAGGTGTATCACCTAACGGGTTTTTCCAGTATCAGTCAGACAACACTTCGATTACTGCGTCATGGCCTCCGTTTGCAGACGACGAAAGTAATGTAGAGAGCTACTTCTGTGCGATCGGCAGCGAACCATACAAAGACGATATTATTCCTTTTGAAAATGTTGGATTAGCCACTGAGTTAACGGAGACGAACCTCAGATTATCTCATGGAGAAACATATTTCATCACAGTAATATCACGAAACCAGGCCGGGCTAAGTTCTAATATTACGTCGCTTGGTCTCAAGATAGATACATCACAACCACTTGCCGAGAGCAAAGATGTAAAAGATGGCAAATATGACGAAGATATCGATTTCTTCTCATCTGGTATGGAATTTTCAGGTCGGTGGGAAGATATTACAGATCCTGAAAGTGGCATTTCAGAGAGTAAGTACTGTGTAGGGACTAGCCCCTATGGTTGCCAGATTAAAGCAATGACATCCACTGGCAAGAACAAGTCTTTTGTTTGCCCAGAATGTGTCGCAAAAGAGGGAGAAAGGGTTTTTGTGACAGTCTGCGTAACGAATGGTGCCGGTCTATCGAAAACAGTTTCTTCAGATGGAATGCTTTTCGATAGCACTCCTCCCTCAATTGACGGTGTTATTGACGGAAGCCAAATAGCAGGAATGGACTCCTTTGCTGTTCTTGAGAACTGGAACGTTTCTGTGTCTTGCTTAGGCGTGGAAGACCCTGAAAGTGGCGTGCAGTCATGTATTTGGACCATTAAAGATATCAATGACGTTGTTCGGTTCGAGAAGAATATTACGAGCAACTCTATTTCCTTGGAAAAAATTGTTTTCACAGACAGTAAGACATACAGAGATCTTGGCATTGACAAGAGCATTACATACTTTAATGTATTGACTTGCTGGAATAAAGCGAAGATGCAGGCCACTGCACGGTCTGATGGCTTCCATGTAAAAACCGTTTGGCCTGTTCCTGGTCGCGTTCGAGACGGTGTGGTAATGGGGACAGACCTCGATTATCTCAACAATACAAAAGTAATAGGTGCCAACTGGGACCCATTTGTTTCTGACATTAAAGATCCTGTTGTTAGTTACGAGATAGCCATCGGGACAAGTCCGGGCAGAGAAGATATCCTCTCTTATCTAAACATTGGCCTAAAGAGGATCATAGAAAAAGACTTGGCACCAGAAATTCCTGTCATAGATGTATTAAAGAGTGGTGTAAAGTATTATGTAACCGTACGAGGCACAACTTTGAGTGGCCTTAGCTCAGTGGAACATTCCGATGGATTTACTGTAGATCCCAGCCCACCACTGAAGGCTGAAGTTTCAGTGTCACACACAGTTGTCGATCAAGAGACGCAAATGTTTGAAATCAGCGTTTCTTGGAGTGGCGTTAAAGATCACGAAAGTGGAATACGTAGCAGTGCATACTGTTTGCAGACGAATCCTCAAACTTGTGGAAGTGGCCCAGTACTAGCAGGCCTATCTTTACAAGGTGCAATTGGACCTTTCAGACCTGATTCCTGGGGAGAATATTACGTAACGGTTGTTATTGAAAATCGGGCTGGCCTACGTACGGTGATGTCATCGAAAAAGCTCACATTCGACGCTACACCCCCATCAAAGGGCACTGTTATTGATGGAATAAGCATGGATATCGATTTTGTGAATTCTATGAATGCCTTGTCGGTTGCATGGAGAGGCATCGACGATGAAGAGTCTGGTGTGGTTAGCTGCTCTTGGGCAATTGTCGAGCAGACACCCTCAGATGACAGGTCCTTATTTGGAAATGAAACTCTGGTGTTCGCGACAGCAGTAGAAAGCGAAGGGAACCTTACACAGGCAAATCTTAGCCTTGTTCCAGGAGCTCGATACATCAGTGAAATCACGTGCACAAATGGTGATGGTTTCAGAAGCACTTCTTCGTCTGATGGTGTTATCGTAGATTTTACCCCACCCAAGGCTGGACTTGTCTACGATGGTTCATCTCTTCTTGCTGACGTTGGCTATCAGTCATCAACGAGCTCGGTAGAAGCAGTATGGACTCCCTTCGAGGATCAAGAGAGTGGAGTCGTGGAATACTGTTGGGGTATAGGAACGGTCCCTGAGGCTACAGACGCCATGAAGTTTACAACCGTCGGAAAAAAGCTATCCGCGAAGGCAATGCATTTGTCGTTATCTCATGGTGCACGGTATTACATTACAGTGGAAGCTAAAAATGGAGCTGGAATGACATCACATATTTCCTCTGATGGCTTCGAAGTCGACGCCACTCCTCCTGAACTAACAGAGGTAAAATTATCCTAAAAAGTGTTTGTTTGTTTTTCGTATTTTAATTTAGTGCCCCTCACATTCACTGGACTGAGCGATTATCTTAGCTTCGTTAGTTGCGGGTTCATTCAAAGCACGTCACCATTTAAGAGGTAATGTGAGATGCGTTGAAGTATGATACATTAAATTGAACATACAGTTACCTGCTCTCGCAGACCTGCAACTCCCACACAGTAAACACATAGGTTCTTTCTGCAATTTCTACAATTCCCCGTAAATTTACATATCTGTGCGTTATAACTTTCCGCCAAGGTCACAACGGGCTTAAGCCCTTGGATTGGTCCTTCAAAGAATCTGCACGCGTCATGGAAATCACAGGACCAAGAGAGTGAAATAAGCCGAACTGAATTTTGCGTTGGAACACTGCCTGTAGGATGTCAAATAAAGTATATGACAGAAATTGCTGCAAATTCAACCCAAGTTTCGTGTACAGACTGCCATGTGACTAATAATGGAACTTACTATATTAGCATCAGAGTAACAAACGGTGCTGGCCTTTTCACCGTGGTGACAACAACTGGAGTGACAGTTGATTTGACAGCCCCTTTCCTCGGCGAAATAGTACCTCAGTTTTATGTAACATCTTGCACTTCAAACTGTACTCTATTGTCGAATATCACCAGTGTCGAAGATGGTGAAAGTGGTATCAGACTATGTAGCTTTGCAATAAGAAACAGCACTGACTTTTTGACAGACTTTATTGGCAATGGCTTGAGTATGATTGTAAAGGCCACTGGTCTTCTGTTAGTCCCAGGCCAGAGTTATTTCACACTGGTACGATGTGAAAACAACGTTGGACTTATTGCAGAGAGTCTATCGTCTGCAGTGATTGTTGATGATACTCCGCCGTCAAAGGTATGAGTTAATTGTTAGGAAGGGTGGTAGGGACTTTTTTTTTTTTAACGAGCACAAATTTCCAAAATAACAATCTTCCATAAATTCTTGACACTATTGAAAGAGAAACATTTTATAAACGAAAATGCACTTTAAATTACCTCAGGCTCTCCCCTTAAAAAAAGTAGTAAGAAGAAAATAATGCGCTTGAGCTCAACGAGTAATAATGACAACAACTTGGTGAATTATTATCAATGGTTACGCTGTAAATAGCTCCAGATTTTATTTAAGCCAAACCTGTATTTATCATTTCATAGACCAAAAAAATTAAGCCCTCTTTTGCGAGTCAATGAAGTCCTAATGCATACAACTGAACGCAATTTTTTTTTTTACTCCGCAGGGCTCGGTAATTGTGAGTGACGATCGTACCCATGACGTTTTTGGCCTACACTCCAGTTGTCACCTATTTAACAAAACAATGCGCGTTCACTGGTTCGGCTTTAATGATCTCGAATCTGAAGTCAGTGGATTTCGGGTAGCAGTTGGTAAACATCCAAATGCCACAGACGTATTACAATTCCAAGATGTTGGCTTGGTAACAAACATTACACTTCCTTTGTCTAACATTAGCGTGTTGTTTGATGGTGACATTGTTTATGTTACAGTTGAGTCACGTAATCCTGCTGGTTTGATTACCCAAAGTGTATCCCCGCCGACAAGACTGGTTTCAGTTGATAACGAAGAGTACCTAGAACAAGGAGACTTCTACTGTTTAGATTTTTGAACGTTTGATCAACCAGTAACGTGTATTTAGTTTCTAACGTGATACGCGCCAACATATTAGAGGTTAAATAAGTTAAAAATTTCTTGAAGCCCTCGGATTTTCTGAATTTTTGTTCTCATTTCTATAAAACACCAGAGTGTCATCATTAGACTAAAATCAGATTAGACCATCATATTAAAAATAACTGTCGCTTGGATTTTTATGTAATAAATAAAACAAAAGAGAAAAAGGCAGTAGTTTCTAAACAATTTTGAGGGATATGTTTGAGATCACTATCAAACCTCAAGGACTAAAAGCAATGGAAAAGTGGCAAACAAATGAGTCATTCAGTGGCTTTGCATGTATGTTTTTTCTTCTTTTTGTTCGTTTGTCTTTGTTTTGGTTTTTTTTTTTTGTTTGTTTGTTTTTTTTCAACTTCAACATTCTTAATCGTCTCTTAAGATATAGATGATTTGAAATACACCTAAAGATAAAGATTTGACGGTTTGAACGAACAAACTGTGGAACAATTTTTCACACGAGAATCGTTAACAAAAAGGAAGATCATAAGGAATCGGATACAAAAATAACGAAAAGTCATGCAGCCGATTTCAAGTAACCACTAACACGCCTACGAAACGTGATTTGTGACATTTCTGTGCTACAAACCAGTACTTTTGGCATCGAATGTTCCGAGAGGATCGCAAAAAATGAGTCACAACCTCGTAAAATCCTTATGCCCTCCTTAAAGACGTCTCATATTGTGCATTTCTGATGATAACGGGATTTCTTGCTTGTATGTCCTACAGCTTGCCAAGCAGAATGTTTTGATCAATCCGAGAAGGCCTAAAATTTATTCGCCTGAACTCTGGAACAAAGGGAAGAGTTAGAGATCTATTCGGTTTTAGGTGAGGGTTGCCCAATATGACATAACAAAGTGATGATGTCTAGTTCCAGCTCACTATCTTAAAAGTCTGTCTACCATGCCTTTCAGCTAATTCTTATATGAGCCCTTTGCAGTTGTAGATTGCTGACGGGTAGGTGAATATAAACTCAAACCTAAAGCAGTCTGTCCGGTGTGCTAATCCCGTATGTGGTCAAGTGTGGGGGAATATTTTAGACAGCTAACAACATTCCCCTGATGAAGAGTGACACTCCAATATTTGCAGAAATGTTCGGGTTTCTATAGAGCCACTAAGCTACCTTTTTCAAATTAGTTAAGAAGGGTAAATTTCGTCTTAACCGTTATTTATTCGGGCCAAGAGTAACACAAAGGCCGATATAAGCCAGCAGTTGGTCGTTAAAAGAGGACACTGAATTTACAATTTACATTTAGCGTGATGAAAAAAACCAGAAATCTTCATCGGGTTTTTCCTCGTGTTACTTTTCTCTGCAAACATAGTTCCCAAAACGTGTTCCGAGGATAACTGTCCCTGAGCTAGTTGGGGATACTGGAGCAGTTGTTACGGTGGAACAAAAACCCGATCTCTAAGGCAGCAACCGACGAGTGTTAACTGCAATTGAGATGTAACGCCTCAGTTTGAGACAAAACCGTGAGCTCAAAGTAAGTACGTGCTAGCTTTTCCAAGCTGCTCTCGATGCAATTCACGCGAACTTAAACGCTACCAATATCTTCCTGCACTATATCATGATATATTGGTCCGTCTATGTTATATTTAACTCTAATCTTCTACCGCAATTGATAAATGGCATTATTAAATTAATTTGGGATTGCTTTACAAACTCGTACAAAACACACCTTTGGTATTTTGGATGCCAGACACAATATTACTATCAAACCGTTTGTTAAGTACAGTATAAGAAATCTTCCCCTTATATGTAAACGTAATTTAGGAAAGAAAAAGACGCAATGCAATCTAATCAATATTTATGTCGCTTCCACGTGTTGGAAGTATGAAATTATACCCGTGTCAATATTTTGGTCGAATTCTAGGTCAACAGTAGAGCTTTGTTTGTAAGAGGGCTATAATGAATAGAAATCAGACAGGTTTGTGTACGGATAAATTTTGGCCAATCAAGATGAAGACATATAGGACGAACCGGCGAAACATTCCACGCCAGACTTTCAATCAAAACTTGTGACTCTTGCGCAAAGAACCTTCTATCTTAATGAAAGTCATCAGATAGTTCTTGTGATATTATAGCTCAATCAATTCCAGATGCTATGATCCTGTCCCTCTTTAGTTTAACCCTTTAGCACAGTGCTCCCTGCCTCCCCTCATTGACTTAGTATCCTGGTTACAAATTGACACTCTACCGAAGGTACCAGACATAATCCTTTTCAAATGAATCTCTTTTTATTATTTGTTCGCTAATATGATCAAGCACCGTTTCTTTAATTGTCATTTTCTTTGTGAAAGGTGATTTTAAATATCATTTGACCTTTGTTTGTTTCTACAACTGGGTGAGAAAGCAGTAAGGAACGCGCGTCCCTGTCGATCCAAATTAAACATTTTTTTTAAAGGTCACACTTCAAGATACTTATTCTGACTCATTTGACTTAACTATGTCAATAGGATAGCGCGGAAAGAGAAACATAGGCATTTATTGATTACGAGTACGAACAGTTTCAAGCACTGATGTGTGTACATTTGATTGTTCTTTTTTATTGTTTCAGCGCCTTTCAGCGATGATTCAGCCCCCTCTTTTTTCCGGCAACTAAATCAATCAACTTAATCGCATTTAAAAATTATCTAAACAGCGGGTGTTTTTGGACCATATATTTACAAAAACACTCAAATATAGAACTTTTAATTCATACAATCCTTACATATTTTATTCGCGTGGGACAACGTGCCTTCCCACTATTCCGTTAAACGACCGATAACGATGCGTATCCGTGAGCCGAACGCTAGATTCTTCATAAACGGCAGTGGCGCGCTAAGCAATCTGTTGAACGCTTAAATCCTTTTGTGTGGCTGTGTTTCACGAGCAATTTTTCAAGAAACTTAGCGAATGACAACCTGAAATTTCGTAAAAACATTTTCTTTTCCGTCTCGGTTTTATCTTCAAAATAATTCCTCATTTTCAAGCATTATATGGACTTTCAAAGATCGCGCCCTGAATTCTTTCACCAACGCTTTGTTAGAGCTCCCCGATTTTAATTGACTGCTTACATCTTGCAATTGTTTGATTCTCACATTTGAATGGCTTTTTTTCAACCTCGCCAAATTCTCCATTTTAGCCCGAAAAATGTGCCACAATGCTCGACAAAGTGATAATAGTACTGTTTTCACCAGATTTGACCCTGTCCCTCTTTAGCATAACCCTTCTGTTCTCCCCACCTTTTCTCGTTGAATTAGTATCCTCGTTACAAACTGAATTCTAAGTTTTGAAGCATTCTTTGGGCTTTGAAAGATCACCGCCGTGAATTCTTCATCAAGGCTATAGTGTCTTTGGACCGCACATTGACAAAAACACTCAAATATGGGACTTTTAATTCATGCAATCTTTGTATATTTGATTCGCATGGGACAACGTGCTCTTCCACCATTCCGTTGAACGACCAATAACGATGCTCATTCGTCAGCAGAACGCTAGATTCTTCGTAAGCAGCAGAGACGCGCTAAGCCATCTGTTGAATACTTAAATCCTTTTTTGTGGCTGTGTTCTTACGAACCATCTTTTAAGTCGCTTAGCAGTTTTTTTTTCCAAATCCCTTCAAACACTAAAATAATCCTCATTAAATTTAAGCCACCAGTGACCAGGTTTTCACGACTCCCATTGTCTATCTAAACATTCTTGAAGGTGTTCGTTTACTTTCACCCTTTCCAGATCCTATAATCCTGTCCCTCTTTAGTTTAACTCTTCAGTACTTAAGGTTTCAGCGCCTTTAAGCGATGACTAAGCGCCTCTTTTTTCGGCAGCTTATTATAATTCAATCAAGTCCGTTAAAACTGTCCAAACGGCGGTGTTTTTGGACCATACATTAACAAAAACGCTCAAAGATGGAACTTTCAATTCATGCAATCTTTACATATTTGATTCGCGTGGGCAACGTGCCTTTCCACTATTCTGTTAAATGACCAACAACGATACGCATCTGTCAGCAGAACACGAGATTATTCATAAACGGCAGAGGCGTACTATGCCATCTGCTGAACGCTTAAATCCTTTTGTGTGGCTGTGTTTCACGAGCAATTTTTCAAGAAACTTACCAAATGACAACCTGAATTTCGTAAAAACATTTTCTTTTCCGTCTCGGTTTTATCAAAATAACTCCTCATTTTCAAGCATTATATGGACTTTCAAAGATCGCGCCCTGAATTCTTTCACCAACGCTTTAAGAAAAGGGTGCGAACATTGTTAGAGCTCCCCAATTTAAACTGGCTGCTTACATTGTACAATTGTTTGATTCTCACATTTTAATGGCTTTTTTTTAACTTCGCCAAATTTTCAATTTTAGCCCGAAAAATGTGCCACAATGCTCGACAAAGTGATAATAGTACTGTTTTCACGAGATTTGACCCTGTCCCTCTTTAGCTTAACCCTTCTGTTCTCCCTGCCTTTTCTCATTGAATTAGTATCCTCGTTACAAACTGACACTCTACCAAAGGGAGGAGACATAAACCTTTTTATTTGGATGAAGATGAATCTTTTTTTTTAATTATTATTTGTTCGCGGAATTTGATCAAGTACCGTTTCACTAATTGTCATTTTCTCTGTTAAAAGAGATTTTGAATATCATTTGACAATTGTTCGTTTTCAATCTAATACCTGTTTACATCTTGATTGTAAACTCTACAATTAACTTAATTACAACTGGGTAAGATAGCAATAAGGACCGCGCCGTCGCTATCGACGCAGATTAAACATTATTTTAGAGGTCACATTTCTAGGTACTTATTCCGACTTAGCTAGCTTAACTAGGCTTATACGAAAAGAGAAAATTGGGTAATTATTGATTAAACAGTTTGAAGTACTGATGTGTGCACATTTGATTGTTTTACTCTATTGTTTCAGCGATAATTAAGCGCCACTTTTTCTCGGCAACTAAATTATTTCATTTAATCACATTAAAAGTATTCAAACGGCGGGTGTATTTTTGAACCGCACATTAACAAAAACACTCAAATATGGGACTTTAAATTCATGCAATCTTTACATATTTGATTTGCCTAGGACAACGTGCTCTCCCACTATTCCGTTGAACGACTAATAATAATACGCATCCGTCAGCAGAATGCTAGATTCTTCATAAACGGCAGAGACGCGCTAAGCCATCTGTTGAACACTTAAAACCTTTTGTGTGGTTGTCTTCTCACGAATAACATTTTAAGTCATTAAAAACCTAAAATAATCCTCAAACGAACCGCACATTAGCAAAAACACTCAAATTTGGAACTTTAATTCATGCAATCTTTGCATATTTGATTCGCATGGGACAATGTGCCTTTCCACTATTCCGTTGAACAACCAATAACGATACGCAACCGTCAGCAGAACGCTAGATTATTCATAAACGACAGAGACGCGCTAAGCCATCTGTTGAACACTTAAATCCTTTTGTGTGACTGTCTTCTCACGAACGATTTTTAAGTTGTTTAACAGTTTTTTTTTTCCGAATCGCTTCAAACCTTAAAAAATAATCGTCATTAAATTTAAGTCACCAGTGGCCAGGTTTTCACGACTCCCCTTGTCTTTCTAAACATTCCTGGATGTGTTTCGTTCACTTCCACCATTAGTTCTCACGCCTTGTTTTACGATCAAGAGTATATTTCAATTTAAACAGTATGGCGGGAGATGTAGGCGATGATCACATATACGTCCTTCCCCTTTTCGTTACTATGTTTATGCGGTTGTTTTCATTCTTGTGTTGCAAGTTCCTAGAAAAGCTTAGTACAAAGGAGGATTGCTACTCTTAAATGGATATGACATTTCTTTATCTGAGCAATTGTGGTTATTGCAAAATTTCGAGGGAGACATCTAGAACATCTCCACTGAATTCCGGTCAGTTCAGCAGGGCTTACAGTCTGAAGATTACGGTTTATCTTTCGCTTCTTTAGCCATTTATCAAACTTCTTAAAACTCTTAGAGGTTTTTTTTCCTTTTTTTTAGAACTTCTTCCCCATGCTCAAAGGATCAATTTTTCCGGAATTCCTTAGTTTTGAAGCATTCTTTGGGCTTTGAAAGATAACCGCCGTGAATTCTTTCACCAAGGCCGCTGCATCTTTGGACCGTACATTGACAAAAACACTCACATTTGGGACTTTTAATCAAGGCAATCTTTACATATTTGATTCATATGGAACAACGTGTCTTTTCACTATTCCGTTGAACAACCAATAACGATACGCATCCGTCAGCAAAACGCTAGATTATTCATAAACGGCAGAGATGCGCTAAGCCATCTGTTGAATACTTAAATCTTTTTGTGTGGTTGTCTTCTCACCAACGATTTTTAAGTCGTTTAGCAGTTTCATACCTTAAAACAATCCTCATTAAACTTAGTCAGGTTAGTGGCCAGGTTTTCATGACTCCCGTTGTCTTTCTCAAAATTCCTGAAGGTGTTTCGTTTACTCTCACTATTCGCTCTCAGGCATTGTTTTCGCGATCAAGAGTATATTTCAATTTGAACAGTATGGCGGGAGGTGCAGGCGATGATCACATATCCTTCCTCTTTTCGTTTCTGTGTTCATGAGGGTGGCTTGCATACAGAGGAGAACCGCTTCTGTAGAACGAGTATGACATTTCTTTACCTGAGCAATTTCGCTAATCGCAAAATTTTGAGGGAAGCACTCCAGTCAGTGTAGCAGGGCTTACGATGCAAAGATCCATGTTTCACTTCTCAGCCACTGAGTAAACTTCTTCAAACCCTAGGAGGTCTGTTTTTCATCACTTTTTTTTTTGGAACGTTTTATTTTCTAACTTTTGTAAAATCTTTTTACCTGAAAAAAAAAAAATGGCCCGTACAGGATTTTAACCCATGACCTTTGCGATACCAGTGCAGCGCTCTACCAACTGAGCTACATGGCCAACTGAGAGCTGTTCAATATGTTGGGTCCAAATATACCATCCAAGTGATGAATGTTTATTGGATATAAATATTTTATTGGATATATTTTTTGCCCCTTGAGAAAGTGTTGCCCAACTTACATCTATGGCTTAAGAAAAAACAAACAAAGAACTAAATCGACATAACAACACCCCGAAAAACAGCAGCGACTACCGCAGTAGATGCGGTATGCTGCGCTCACTTGGATATATATATATATAAGCTCTCTTATACATTTATTTTATGATTTAGTCATTTATCTATTAATGCATTATTCATTTTTCAATTCCTAGTTATTAATGGAGGGTGGTCGCCTTGGGGTTCATGGAGTGAATGTAGCCAACTCTGTAATAATGGCACAAAAGACCGCACACGAAGTTGCACGGATCCAGCTCCCAGCGGTGGAGGTAGTTACTGTCCTGGGCAATCTCAAGACACCCAATCCTGCAACACAGACAGATGCTCGGGTCAGTACAATTAACTTAAGTTAGTTGTTACTTTAATTTACGGTCGGTAGAGTAGTGTCTGTGTGAGAGCGAAAACAAAATTCCAGGTGGTTGGGGGCATATTATTTTTGTTATTATTATTATTTTCTTTTCCGAGACTGTTTAATTCTTGTTCCTTGTAAATGATTACTTTGATAACAGAATAATATATTTAGATCCTCTTCTTAATCGTGGAATGTTTTACTCACTGCAAAGAAACTAAAACCTTGGCCAGAAAGCTATTCCACTTCAGCGTTACCAATTCTATATACACATTTGAGAGAACTTAATCAGTTATTTAATACCTAATCGTTTTAGTATCAATCTGGTAAGGATTGACTACGAGTAACGTAGCCTATCAGATTGCAGCAATTGTGATAGCAAGCTAATAGAAAAAATTGAAATCCTACTAAAAGTCAATTTATGTGCAGTTCTTGACAAACCTATCTCAAATATGACAGAATTCTTTAAAGTTTGCTTTATTAGCTTTAATATAAGATTAATGATGTATATCATGTATATCCCTCATCCCCTCTTTTTCTTTCCAAAATGGTAATTTTGATGACAAATGCGGCCATTAAAAGCGTTCTTCACCTTTCAGAAAAAAAGATTTAAGGGCTAACAGTCACTTATTTCCCGAAACGAATTGCTTAATTACTTGTTCACCGTGTTCCAATCCTGTAACTAGGATAGTAGGTGGCAAAAGCGCCACAAGGGCCTTCCTAGTTAAGACTGAATTTTTTTTCTTTTTTTTTTCTTCTTTTCGATGAATTTAAACTAAGTGTCCTACTTATGGTAAACAAAAAGTTATGGGAATCCGAGACTAAGCATTGTCATTATACATTTGAAAGAGAGGTTACAGCGTTTACAAATTATAGCTGCAATCTTTGTCACGTGTTACGAGGTAACGCTTCTTCCATCAACATCTTCTTTCAACGCCCTCAGATCTCTGCTCGAAACTGAAACCATGTGATCATATTTGCACCAACTTGAAAGGAGGGGGCTATACGTGCAGCTGCTATCCTTGTTATACCCCATCAGGAGGAAAATGTAATCTGCCGCAGTGTAAAATAAGAGGCAACTGTTATCCTTACAATTATGTCAATCCAGGCAATTCCTGTCAGGTGAGAAATATATGTTTAGCTCCGTTCCTCAAAGCTGCATTCTGAAATATCACATTGTCATAACGATAAAAACCACCTAATTACTCGATGAATGAATGTTTCTCAGGAAACATTTACCCAAATGACATTTATCGATTGATAGGGATGTGTGATACTCACATAGACTTGCCTAGTCGAGTACGAGCGTTGAAGTGAACTTCCAAATATGGATCATCAAATTTCTTTATTTGAGGACACTATTGAAAAGTTAACACCACTTATTTCTTTCGAGCAATTCGCCTTCGGTGGAACGCTGAACAAATGAATTTTATAGCCCATGCAACAAATCCCAGTTTCACAATTACCCACATTTCCAGACATAATTAGTTTGGACACTTTTTCTTGTACTATTGCTCTTCCAATGTTTGCGTCTTGTCCATGAAGTCTCGTGGGCCAATATTGAAAGGGCCAGGGATAGCAGAAACGATCTAAAATTCATGAGCATGCTTAAATGAAATTGGTGAAAAGAATGTTCTTGATAGGAAATCAACAAACTAAGAAGTATTTCACTAACACAATGTATCAATGATTTTAGTATTATTTTTCTTTAGAAATGTGTCAGCTCCAGCAAGACATCATGGACAAACGATGATGCTCTTGCATGTAACGATGGCAATGTATGCACCTCTGACGATCGCTGCTCCGGTGGAAAATGCGTTGGTACGCAACTCAACTGTTTGGCGTCATGTGAGGAGTGTTACAATGATGCCTGCCGAGTAAAATCAGGATACTGCGTAATCTTTGAAAGAGGGTCGAAAACATGTTTTACTAATGGAGATTCGAGGCCGGGGCGTCCATGTCAGGTAATGTTAGTTAAAGATGTGAACTTTTTGAAGTCACCATGCTATTATATATCCTTGAGAACCAGCGAGTAAAGTAGTCCATTAACCCATCACCAAGAAACTTAAGATCACTGAAGTGCCTCTTGAAAATAAGACTGCTGAGTAATTAATGTTTCATTGAATTCCAACTAGCGACTAAACAAATCTGTAATCGTTTGACATTGTGAGAGACTTTGAAAGGAGGGCAATCCAAATTCAAACCTTTGGGTTGTGTCACATTATTTTTGTACTTGGAAAGTGGAATCGGAGGAGCCATTGGAGCTTTCGCCTTCCAACGCTGCAGCCTAGCCTCGATTCCTGACTTTAACGTATGCGTGATTTAATTATGCTGTTCGTTCTCTTCCTTGCTCCAAATGCTTTTCTTCAGTTGAGTTTTTTTTCGCTTTTCTACCACCTACAAAATTCGATTGAAAGTTGCTTAGTTTGACGTGAACACACCAACGATGGACAAAGTTCTACCCTAACTTTGTATCTCTCTCTTAATATTAATCAATCTGAGAGGATAATAGAGAGGCCATTTCTTCTTCTTCTTGGGAGGCTCAATCAAGCTGTTGTTTTTTATATTCCTTTTACAGAAATGCGACACTAGTAAAAGTGTAAGTACATGGTCAGACAATGACGGGGTAGCGTGCAACGATAGTGACCGCTGTACTCGAAATGATAAGTGCAGTAATGGCCAATGCAGGGGCGCACTTCTCAGCTGTAACTCCATATGTCAGTACTGTAATGGGAACAGTTGTGGCCTAAAGGCTGGGTACGGCTTTTCCAACAGCAAATGCAAATGTAAAATGAACGGTGAGACTTTCTTTTTTTTAAATTTCCTTTTAAGACTTACTCAGTAATGCAGAAAATTCAAAAGACCGAGAGAAAATGGCGCGACTTCAAGTGGTCTTCAGTACACCAGACTATCACTACATGGGATTATTATTTTCTCTTGTTGGTTAACTTATAAAAGTGCATGAGCTTGAACATGAAAGTGATCTTCGCAGTAAATAATCACCACTGAATCCTATATGGGATTTGAACCCATGACCTCTGCGATACCGGTGCATTGCTCTATCAACTGAGTTAACAAGCCAACTGGGAGCTGGTCATTATGTTGGTTTGTATTAAACCTGTGAAGCGACGAATCAATCAAGAGAGTAAGCTCAGTATTAAAGATTTTGAATACATGAAAATCATACATGTGAACTGCGGATTAAGAACTGAATATGAAAGCGATCTTCGCAGTAATGAGCATTATTTAAGCAGTAGTGATAATAAGCCAGCTCTCGGCCTAGTTAATTAGCTCGGTTGGGAAAGCACTGCACTGCACGTAGTGTTCATTTCTGTGGAGATAGCTTTCATATTCATTTCTCATTACGCATATCATATATATGATTTTCACATATTCACTATCATTAATACTGAGCTTACTCTCTTTCCATTCATTCAAGGTAATTATGTTTCAGGGGGTAATGATAGCTGTGAAACTTAAAATCGAAAAAATCGCTGAAAGGCTAAAAGGGCCTTTATGTAAATTGTAAGACAGCTTTTAAAGGAGAAAAAAACCGATTTTTAATTCCAGGTCAAGACTATGATCATCACGCCTTAAATCCATCAAATCCGTGTCAACGGTGTGATTTGTTAGATGCGGCAGCCCGCGCTGGCAATACATGGTCCGATCACAACGGTGCACATTGCGATGACAACGACAAGTGTACGAAAGGGGACGTGTGTAATGGTGGAAGGTATTTTTTTTTTCAACGATTATCGTTTTGGAAGGACACTAATCGAGGTGCTAGTTGTCAGCCTACCCATTGTTAATGTTCTAGTCAATCAAAGGTAGTCTGTTCACACGCCTGCTATTTTCTTTGGGATCGTTGTCAGGCGCACGCGCAATGTGTCCCTATCTTTCATGTATATGGATATGTACAGATTTAGCCTTTGTTTCTTGGTTTTTTAGTTGCAAAGGACAGAGATACAGGTGCCAATTGTCTTATCCATCCTCGAGCTGCATAAGAACATCTGAATGTGTTGGAGATGGAAGTTGTCGGGATATTATGAGGACAAATGGGACAGTATGTCGATCTGCTGTTGACATGTGTGATCAACCCGAAAAGTGAGTGCATCAATATTATCAATGTGCACAAAGAATTCTCCCTGAGCCCTTACGCAGTTTGAGACTGCTGGTTGCATGAATTTAAAAAGTGTACACGTATCGTTCGTGCCACACAAGATTAGGAGGATCATCTTAAGCACACACAATTTTTCGACACTTTCAGGAAAACAGTGAATCAGAGAAACTTCTTGAACGAGAATTGAGATACACGCTCAGCTATGATGACGGTTGAAAAGGAAATCAAACGGATATTACACGGCGGCAGCGAGCAATTGTCTAAGAGAACATTGAAGTAAACAACTAAAATTTTTTTTTTAAGCCCAGAGTTGTTTCACTGGTAAAAATTAATGAACACATGCCATTTTCCCGTAAAGTCTAGCTGTTGTTTTCCCGATAACACGAGTTGCGTTGACTTAAAAATGTCCGTTAAGTAATAATTGGATCATGAGTGTGGATAATTTTTCTTGATGTTGAATCCTTAATTTCGGGCGCTTATATGTGGAAGGCACTTTCACCTACTGTCTTTCCGCGCCCTTAAGACTTAAATGTGATATATTGGGTTTCAGTTTCGATCTGGTGGCACTGAAGTAACAAAGTAAAAATCACGACCTAATTCAACGCGTTATTCTTTATGGACTAATTTAAGCGTTTACGAAAAATATAAATCATTAGGTGTGACGGCAGCCATGGGACGTGTCCTAGCTTTGCAGTTGATAGAGTTAATGTCACGGCAGGCACTGTTACCATCGTTGACCAGAACTTCCATGACACAATTTTCTACCAGCATGTCACCGACAAACTTTTCATTAAAATCTCTGGCTTCAATGCATCGTGTGGAAAAGTAAATCTGAGATGGTTTCTTCTGCCAGGAGCGTCCAGTTGCTCTGGTTCGTCACTCGCAAATGGCGTCTTAAAAAACACCAACAGCCTGCAAACTTTATCAGGGTTGACCTTTCAAGATAATAAAAGTTACAAAATTTCCGTCGCTGCATCTGACTTGAGGGACAAAGAACAACATCGCGAATGCAGTTTGGCTGTAATCGTGGACACTTCAAAACCAACACACGGATGGGTTCACGATGGGGCAGCAGAGGACCTGGATTATCAATCTTCCAAGCTTTTCCAAGTCAACTGGGGAGGATTTCAAACCAGAAATGGTGTTGACAAGTACGAGTGGAAAGTTCTTCTAACTTCGTATGGGAGCTCTCAGAACACAGAGTTCACCATTTTCTCCAACACGAACCTGAATACTCGTATGAACATAACAATTAGCAATGTAACTGATGGTTCCAAGGTCCAATTTGTCGTTCGTGCCTACACAAAAGCAGGACTTTATAGAGAAGTTAAGAGTAATGGAATAATTTTTGACAGCACGCCGCCTATAGCAGGAAAAGTCTTTGCTGGGACTAAAAATACCAGCGACGTCAAATACGCTACCTGGAGAAAAAAGTTTTTCGCAAATTGGAATCCTTTCAGTGATCCTCAAACAACTATCTGGCGATACACATGCGCGATTAAAAAACAAGGTGAACTGTTTAGCACTGCCTATAGAGACAACGCTCTCAATCGAACAGCAACATTTGGTGAATTAAACTTAGTCTCTGGAGAAAAATACTGTGTAGTCGTGAGAGGCTACAATATGGCTGGTCTGTACACTGAAGCTACTTCTCACTGTGTGTTGATAGACTACGACGCTCCCCGGGCCGGCACTGTTAACGATGGAAGTTTCGCTGACATAGACTACCAATCAAACAATACCGTGCTAGCAGCAAACTGGAATGGTTTCACAGATGGAAACAGAGGAAGTGGAATTATAGAGTACAAGTACAAGATTACGCAAGAGAATGGAGTCACCATTCTAAACTGGACATCAGCAGGAAATGCAACAAACATTATCGTGTCTGGTCAGTCCTTGGAGGGTGATTCCAAACACTTTGTTACAGTCAGCGCAATTGATGCAGTGGGTCTTAGCGCCAGTACAACCAGTGATGGGGTTCTTGTTGACAATAGCCTTCCACTGAAAGGACAGGTTTATGATGGTAGTGATCCAGGCTCAGACATGAAGTATGCCTCCTGGAATGACACATTTAGCGCAAACTGGGAACCTTTTATCGATGCACAATCTCCATTGCTCAAGTACTCGTGGGCAGTACAGCTACTGAATGGTAGTTACGTCTCCTCTTTCAGCTCCACGGGACGTTCCCACTCCGCAACAGCAAGAGACCTACACTTAGTTTCTGGAGAACGTTACTGTGCCGTTGTCAAAGGCTACAACCAAGCTGGTTTATTTTCGGAAGCCACATCAGACTGCTTGCTCATAGATCACGATCCTCCACAAGCAGGTAGTGTAAATGACGGGTATGCTGATGACTCGGATTACCAGTCAGACAGTACCAGCATAACAGCAAACTGGAATGGTTTCACTGACGGAATCAAAGGAAGTGGAATTGTTAAGTATGAGTACAAAGTATCAAACGCCAATGGAAACATCGTGGTCCCTTGGAAAAATGTTGGTAATGCGAAAAACATAACTACCAGCTGTTTGTCCTTAATTAGTAACACCATTTACTTCGTCACCATAAAGGCCATAGATGCTGTTGGTCTAAGCTCTAGTGCGACCAGTGATGGAGTTCTAGTCGACACGAGTCCTCCTCGAGCGGGAAAGATTTATGACGGAGGTCACCTTGGTTCAGATTCAAAATACGAAACATGGAATGACACATTCAGTGCAAACTGGGATCCTTTCATCGATCCACAGTCTTTAATACTAAAATATGACTGGGCGGTGAAAGAAATGAGCAATCGCTATATAACTTCTTTCTTCAAAATTGGACTCAACACCATTGCGAATGTAACGAGACTGAAATTATTTTCAGGACAGAGATACTGTGCAGTTGTAAGAGGTTACAACAGAGCTGGTCTTTATACGGAAGCTGCATCAAATTGTGTTCTGATAGATCGTAACGTTCCTCAGGCCGGCACAGTCAATGATGGATCACTTAGTGACGAAGACTATCAATCGAATGACACCTTGATATCTGCCAACTGGTATGGCTTTACTGACGGTAAAAATGGAAGTGGTATTGTGGGCTACAAATACAAGGTTGTGGACGAGAACGGAAGCATTTTTTTAGACTGGACATCTGTGGGGAACGCTACAAGTTTTTCTAAAGGGGGCTTGCTCCTGAGAAATAACATCAGATACTTTGTAACTGTTAATGCAACAGATGCCGTTGGTTTGAGCACGACTGCATCTAGCGATGGTTTTCTTGTTGACATCAGCCACCCAATCACGGCGAAGATTTACGATGGCAGTCAAACAGGATCTGACGTGAAATATGCATCGTGGATCAATACTTTCAGTGCTAACTGGGAACCTTTCCTTGATGAACAATCTTTCATCTTGAAATATACTTGGGCAGTATATCATCTCAACGTCGGTTTCATCACACAATTTATCTCTACTGGTCTTAATTGTTCTGGAACTGCAAACAACCTTAAGCTGATTTCTGGAGAGAAGTACTGTGCTGTTGTAAGAGGCTACAACAAAGCCATGTTGTACTCTGAACGTTCCTCAGACTGTGTACTTATTGATCGTGACGCCCCTCAAGCAGGGGCTGTCAACGACGGAAGCTCCAGAGACGTATCTTACCAAGTAGATTCTACCATGATTGCAGCAAATTGGCATGGTTTCACGGACGGCACAAAAGGTAGCGGCATTGTAGAATATAAGTACAAGATAACAGACAGCTGTGGAACGGCTATTGTACCCTGGACATCTTCTAAGACCGCGAAAAGTATAATCCACACAGGTTTATCTCTGACGATGGCCGAAAAGTACTCCGTGAGTGTCATGGCAATTGACGCTGTAGGTCTCACGGCTGTTGCCGCAAGTAATGGTGTTATTGTTGCCGTAGGTAAGAAGAGCAATTTATGCCTTTTTGAACATCTAAATGGTGCACGTGAAGTGGTAAAAAGAGACAAGAGTAAAAGTCAATGCTTATTTTTTCATAATCCCTACATGCTGTAACGCGACGGGAAAGCACAAATCGAAAGCGCATGGAAACCTAAGGGTGCTATAAAGGGTACAAGTTAGAATTCGCGAAGCCAAAACGCGACAGAATTTCGTAGGTAATCACGTCGAATTAGCAACAGAGGACGGCTTTCTTAGATAACTTCGTTTAACGATCATTCTCATTCGGTTTCCTATTATTTTATCCCTGGGTTTTTCCGCGAGAAAGAAATATCGACCTGCAAAGTTTAAGGGGTTTTGAATGTAAATCTAAATTCTGCAAGGTCTTATAAAAGCTGCGGTAATCAATTAGAATTTCACGTATGTTGATGATAGGTAATCTTTCTGCCTTCTGGGCATGAATTCGGTTTCGAACAACTAATCCCGAACGATTTAGTGGTTCAAGGCAAACAGATTTACTCACACTTTACGCGCCATTAGATCCCTTTCATTGGTATGACTATTTCATGGACGCGGTGTTTTGTTCGCCTTAAAGAGAATCTTTCTGCCTTTTGCGCACAATTTCGGTTTCATACAAACAATACCGTACGATTAAATGGTTCTAAGCAAAAATATGTTATCCGCTTGTTGCACCATTAGATCCCTTTCATTGGTACGATCATTTCATGGACGCAGTTTTTTCTTATTTTTGCCTTTAGCAATTTTCGAAGTGGCAGACCACTGTTTGTTATAAGACTAAACACTGCGGCGGTCTAACTTCATCACGATGTTTGGCTATTCAATTTTTGTCTTTATGGTATTCAACATATATGATGTAAATATCATATGTGATTGAATGACACCCAATTTTATTGTATTCCGACAGGAATGTTATAAACCTGGGGAATAAAATCACTTTGGGAGACGTAAAAGCCAAAATGTTATATAAACCATCTTATAACGTGTTGGTTTGTTTGTAGATTTGAAATTTTAAGATAGGATTTCAAATTTATTATCAATTTCTCTACTCTTAGCATCTTATAAGAATCTAAAGAGGGACCGGTACTGCTACACGATAAAGAAAACCTTTATCATTTTCATTTCATCATACTTAACTTGCAAAGCTCACTCATGTTAAAAGGTGTGCAATTATTACGATTTTGATACGATTTATTAATAATTTTTTCTCTTTTTATAAGGTCTGAAGTTACTGCTGTCCAAACTCTTTATAAGTTACAGATGGTAGCTGACTAAGACAAATTGAGTTCCCACGCCGGACAAGGAAACAAGTTTAGAAATTTTCATAGTTAGCTTCGTTCCTCTTTGACCACGATTAGATCCCAGGAAGGACAGAAAATGGAAAGCAAGGGTTTTGGAGATTTTTTAGATAATTCAATATCAGGTTCAAACTTTTACCCAAATTTGAATTGTTTGATTTCAGGTAGGCCTCTTGCTGAGGTCGAGTTAATCTAAAATATTTGTTACTTTTAAAGTTTTAAAGAGACAGTCCCTGTCATGCAGTTTTTTTATTTTTTCCTTTTTTTATTTTTAATCCTGCCCTGTGACCAAAAGCAATACATAGATTTAATACTAACTAATATTTTGGCGTTCTTTGGGAGTTTTCATCCACAGGACTTTGATGCAATGATAACTTCTGACAGGCAACATCTACTAAGGACACCAATAACACGTCTTGTAAAGAACGAACAGCACCAAAGCTTCCAACCTATCGTTTGGCCCGAAAAGTCTCTATCCTATGTAAGTCGCCATGTGGAAAATCGTGTCGGAAGAGGGATACTCACGAGTGACAATAATAGTTGCGCACCTTAACAGGTAGAGAAAGATACATCGTAAAATTTTAAATTTGTTTGCCAGATCCTTATCTAGTCGAGTGTAAAGCGACTCCCTTGCATGAATATCAACGCTCGCTTAGAATTTTGATAAGGTTTAACCCGGCACTTTTAATTCCCACGGTATATAACGCTTTTCATTTAACGAATTTATTCGTTTGTTTGTCTTTTTCTGGTTACCATGTTCCCAAAAATAGCGTTGCTTCATTTTCATGCAAAGAAAACTGACAAGAATCAAAATTCCTTTATTTGTTATGAAGAAGGGCTCACGCTCGAAACGTTAGCTTTAGAGACTCTTTATGGTGGCCAATTTACATCATCAACTAAGTTGATTATACCAATTTGTCATTTTGTACATCTCGCCCACGCAGCACGACAGTTTCGTAAGTAACTTACCCCCCCCTCTATTTCAACAATTCCACATGTGTGGAAGTGATTATTGGAACAGTATTTAAGTCATGTGACAAACGCTCACTTTCGCTTTTCGGAAGTTTCTTATCACTTCGGGTAAACTTGGTAAAGTGTCTGTAATGGTGAATCTTAGACATGTAATTTTTACAACATGGCTTAAATGATGCTGTGATCGAGCTCTACCCTTTAAAAATCTTGCTTAGTAAGTTTAAGGTATGAATACGGAATAAGCTAATATCTCACATAACATTCTACTCAACCTCTGGATGCAACAAGAATATTATGTGGGGACCGATAAAGATATCTGGAAATAATAAGAATCCCCTCTGAAGCAGAGAAAAAAAAATGAATGGAGTTATCCCTAGTAGATTTGATCGCATTTTAAATATAACATTATTTACCCAGAAGAAAAAGAAAAAAAAATTAAATCCCTTAAGATCACTCAATTATGGCGGTATTCTGCTCCACTTAACCTTTTTTGAGAGGCATTTATGAGTGACAAACAATAAAAATGTTTTGTTTACAACAGGAAATGTACGATGCTTTTTCAGCCATCTGTCTCCTTCAAACCTTCCAAGGGAACTCTACGACTCAAGAGGAATTGCTTCGTTAGCTAACTTCCTTCCCCTTCCAGGGCTGTGACTTTGATACTTTCACACAGCAGACAGCTAATCTCAACAACAATTTTGAGTGCAAGAATATTGGATAGATGAAAATTCGTTTATGAGCTTTTTTTAATCTGATTTACACTGAAAAAAAGGCAGTGAATTTCGAAATGAGAAAATTAAAGCGACGGCACGTGTAGAATAGTTTTTCAATAAAAGTTACTAGCTTAAATAGCTCACCAGCAAAACGTTTTTACGAGACGTTTTCTTAATTACAAGTTATTACTAGAGTAAAAATACATTTGATACCAACAACTGATTTGATAGGAGACATTTAATAATCAAAAAAAGACAAACAGGTTCCAAATTACAGAAACTTATCTGTAATAGGCTGGTGAGAAACTAAATTTTGTTGGCTTCTTATGAATCAGATCTAATTTGGTTGACTTGTTAAGACAGTTATTCTTTGATTGATGTATGATTGATTTAAATTCTAGATATGTTGAAATAAAGAAGTACATATATATACATATTGAAAGGGAAGTGATGTATTTAAACCCAGTCTCTAAACAAATTCACAAAGCCCGTACCTTTTATGTACGTTTGTACATAAACATACCATAGCTAAACTTTAAGTAATAGGCCATTTTCGATGTATTAAAATTCCAACATGGCTCCGAAGCTAGGGGGAATAAAACAAAAGATATGAGTTATTTAAACCTCAACCACGATGTAATTTCTTTTGTTTTATTCCCCCTAGCCTAGGAGCCAAGTTTGAATTTTAATAAATCGAAAATGGTCCATTAGATGAATTTGGACTTTAGGACCCCCCTTCCCCAGGAAGTGGAGGAGGGGGGGCCCTAAATGACATATTGCTTCGAAACCGAAGTCTTGAATAAGGTTTGAATGTTAGCAACGCGCAGCATTTGCGATATTAGTATTCTTTCAAGCTTTTGGCCCTCTTAGGGTCAATTTCTTGAAGTAAGTTCTCCTTACAGTCGCCATTCCTTTCCAGCAATTTTACCTATTGACGTTTTTATTTGTTTTAGTCACCTTTCTACCCGGCAATTGATTAATATTAAAAGGAGTTATCACTCATTGGTCACCTCTGACAGGGATGGATTTGGCATCATAAAGTCGATAGGCCACAATATATAAAAGTTTTTTCTTTATTGCCAGGGTGGTGCAATAGCATTTGTCTTAAGAAGATGAGGGTTTAAAGGTCTTAGTTGCAGACCACTACCCAAATTTTCTTTCCGAATCCCCCTCCCCAGAGCACTCTCTCTACTAACTCGTTACAAAAACCCTATATTTATATTCGACTGGCATCCTCACATGTCTTACAACAGAGGCTCAGCCACCCCTTTGTGGAGCAGAGGTCAAATCTCAGCACTGCCTTGCACTGCTTGCCGGAGTACTTATCTCTGCGACACTCTGTCTCTAACACAACATCTGGTAAAAAATCATATGGAATGAAAATACGTTCGGTGTTTTTCTCACAAGATTTGGAGATGATTTTTAACAAAGCGTTTGAAAGCTAATGGCTTTAAGGGGGGCGAATGATTGCATCGATAAATGCACGGCTAGAATAACACGAGTATTTTTAAAAAACGCATTTGTATGGTCCAGGTCTTACAGTAATTACTAAGAAAAAGCAATCGTTGATTTTCTCAAAGGCACCTTAATGTTTAAACAATGCTCTTTCCTTTTATGGGTAAATGGGGAGAAATAATACTGAACACAAGTAGAAGTCGCATATATTGGCTTAAGCTCCTCTTGGCTTCTTGAAGGGGGGGGACACCTTTAGTTTCAGACAAAATCTAAAAATGCCAGTCTCTTAACAAGTCTGTAAACAAGCCTCTATGCAAAGCTGTTACTATGAAAACATAAAAAATATGATTAACATTTCTGGGTCACCGTCTTAGTCTTGTCTCATTTGCATGACACAAAGGATAACCAAAACAGAAATACAAAATCAGAAATATAACTACGAAGCAATTTAAATATCGTTTCATTGTATGATAAAGCAGTCATGACCAGTTACCGTTAAACCCCAAATCTCTGCGAAATTGATCGGAGATATTGATATTTCGTGGTCCAAGCTGTCGCTATGAAACAGTGTTGATCTGTTTCTTTACCTGCTGTGAATCATCTCAGCGACTCTGTCACATAAGGTCTCGTTTTATCCTAATCTCTCAGCTCTTTCAGCCAGTCGGGCTAGGACAAGCATCGCTGTAGATGTAACTTAAATGTAACTTAGATGTAACTGCTTCCGCTAAAGTTTTTTGGGCGTGATAGCTGCCGTGTCCGGCAAGTGTTATATACATTGCCCACGACGTGATGTTTTGGTGGCTTCGATTCCGAACGAATCTGTTGATTATTTGGAAAGTTTCTTCGTCCTCGCGAAACATATGATGCATGTCATTAGAGCAATCAGCAATTTGACGCTCCTTCATGCTTCTGTCGGTGAAACAGCGCAACACTTCATGGAAAGGCCTCGGCTTCTTCCTCTCTCTACCGATCTAAGACCAGTATATCTTCTCAGTATCAGTAAACAAAAGATTGTCTTTGTTGAGAGTACGAGATATCTGCACATGCGGTTCCTCTGATACCGAGCGCATGGAACAATGGTGTTCAGGTCCTAGACAAGACCTTAACGTCAGTTTGCTAAATCCCTTTGTTGACATTTCAATACCTTGCTCTTGGCCTTTAAAACCCTCGCAATTGTCTGCTCTAGGATGACCATTGGAAGGTCTAAAAAATGCTTTATTGGCACAGTGAACTCTTTCTACCTTTCCGTCTTCCACATGAATGTGCGCATTGTGTTGAGACTGCACCCTGTGTTCTGCCTTGTCCAGGGTACCGTCCGCAAATATTTGATAATCTTGGTTCGTCAAGGAGCGATGGAAATGAGCGTGTGTATCGTTGGCTGACATCACACTGTACTTTGTTCGAAAAATTCCAGAATCATCGTGTTCTTGTACTTCATAGATTTTGGACCTTTGCACTTCTTTTAGATTAAGCTGAAATGCGCTTGCAATGTCTGTGATCAAAAACTGGGTAAGGGGAGGAGAATCCCATGCAGCTGGGCCGAATTACCAATCCCGTCTTGTTAAACTGAATTCTTGTATAGCATGAGCTTGAGCTAACTTTTAAAAATATATATTTTCATGCTTATGAAAAACGTATAATAATCAGTTGTGCACTCTGACTTGCCAAATAGGTCTCCAAGTAAGTATACAGTTGTTTTCGTTTGCTTTTTGTTTCTTTTAAATTTCATTTCAGATAGATAGGAAAACGCAGCAAATCGAATCTCTTTCTTAAAATGTCGTTCAGCCACAATCATTTACATGTAAATGTGGCTGAAAAATGGCTTATCATTATGGATATTTTGAGCACCTTCTCTGCTACTCGTGAACGGCTTTGAAATTATTACAAAATACAAGTGCGATTATAGTTATCTTTTCAAAATTATGACTGAAACACTAATACCGTTGCAAATCTGGTAATATACTTTGTCTCACTGCTCCCTACCTTTCTTGCAGGCTGCAGTTTCGGGTGAATTTTAAAATAGGTTATAAAATAAAAATAAGAAAGTTGTGCAGACCATATCTTGCCTTTTATCCTTCTCTGGATAGTTACTCAAATAACATAGTCACTATCAGACCCTCTCATTCTCACTTTCCACTGAGCTTGTGGAAAGATGACGACCTCAGTATTTTTTTTAATGAAGAAAGGAAAGCCTGCCCTCTTACCACAGATGGTTCTTTTGTACATCATCGGTATATACCAAGTCTTATTTGTACATGAAGTTGATTGTTCTAGGTAGGCTAACCTAATAAATTAGTTGTGAAAATTTCTTTGTTTGACTCAATTTTACCAGACAAATCTAAACTGAATAAATAGAAACTTGAAATTTATTTCTCTTCCTTTTGAGGTGTGCATGAAAATTTTGAAGTCATGGCAGGCTTGAACTACAAGTTTATAAGAAATCTGCATGTGTGTGTGTGTTTTCAACATATAAAACCGGTAAAAAGGTTGCTTAACTTTTTTCACTGGTACACATTTCTTTTTCTAAGAATCTTGTTATTTGGCCTTTGCTGAGTTCTAATTTTTCAAACAAAGTTTACACTCTTTTGAATATTCTTAGATCTCTTAGTATCAGTTAATATTCCTGTAATTAAAATAATTACATCAAATCTTGCAGATGTTTGATACATTTTTCCACTGATCCTACTGACATTTCATAATGTGTAGGGATTGGTATAAGCTATAAAAGTATAGTTAAATTAAATATTTGTGCACAGACTATGTATCAAATATTTGTAATAAAACATTGTATCCTTCTTAAAACTAGTTTATCAGAATAAGAATGAGTTACCAGGCACAAGTATGGCTTTCATGATGACGGTTTCAAGGTTTGAAAAAGTCACTGTCTACTCAAATCCTCAGTTCCTTTATCTTGACAGGCAAACCTCATCAAAACATTGGCAACAGAGCCTATTCCCACAGACACCATCCTCAATCCTGTTTGCTTACTATGGACATGACATTTCAAAAATAGAGTATGTTTCCCTGAATGATTACTTTGTAATGGTGTTTACAAATTGTAGAAATGGTTGGGTTGAAATATAATACAACTACTTGCCAGTAGGTAGTCAAATGAAAACTCTTTACATATCAGTAAAATTTATTGTTGTATTTCATGTTAACATGTTGCAATAACTCTACCTTCCAGGATATTCGACTATTTACAAACATGAGAAAATACCATCTAAAACTCTCCAACCCATTTAATATAGCCAATAACAACATCAACTCAACTTTAAAACGCAAGAGAAAACTTGATTGATGTTTAGAATTGATTGCTATAATGCAAAAATGAAATCTAGGCATTATCTCAAGTTTTCCACAAATGTCTTCCGGATCGAATTCTAAGTCTCTCTTCGTCATCAAGTTTTAATCATGACATTCTGGCTTGTCTTCTCTTAAAGCAAACCTTTGCAGCGCAAGAAACATGTTAGACGAATTTCGTTAGCTAGAGTTGCTAAGATCATGGGCAGTTGGCTTGAAGAAACCTACATTATAAGTAGTTACAGCAGAGGTTACCGAATCAAATGACAGAAAGAATCTCAAAAAGACGCCGTGTATTTCCAGCCAGAGGACAATCATGAAACAATAAAAACCAAAACAGGAAAAGTTTTAAGAAATTACAGGTTCAAACACGAGTTGAAAATGACTTCTTTTTAATTTTTACGCGAAACAGAGGTGGTTGAAACGTTAGGGGAAAAATGATGGGGCAAGCAGTCATACCTGGCAACTTAAAGAGAAGATATAAGAGAAGCCCATACGATTCTGGCGTCTTGATTTACTAATTCACTGGTATCACGAGTATACTCTTCATTCGACTGTTGATGTCCAAACTCGAAGTAGTTTACCGTCGTTTCTTTCAATTTTGGCTCACATCCCCGAACCAAAATTATCAGTCGCGCCCAAAAGAATATAATTTCAACTGATACTGACATCGCACACTTCCGCTGAAGAAGAAAAGATTCTCTGTCTTCGAAAATTTGCTAAAAACATCAGAAACTACAGCGAAGGTCCTTAGCTGCTTGAAGATACCGCTGACTAACATGCGTTTTTTCCCAAGTTGTGAGAACGTCGTCCCCAGGTTCCAGACCTCGCCAATTCTTCCCTTCCCTCCCCATCCCCCGGACTGGTCTCTTAATCCCCTTGAAGAAACTCTTCTACAGCCAATGCTGAAGAGTTTTATCACAGTTTTTATTGTAATGAGGGGCTAGAAAATAAACTAACGAGAGCTCCGCTTTTAGGCTTGGCTAAATCTGCCTGATACGAAGAAGGTTAAAAACAGAATTATTGTCAAGTTCGTGCGACGTGACAAGCGAGAAGAGATGAACAGGAATCGTAGGAAATTGATAGGGAAGAACACCTTGGCTCTCCAGTTGGTTCGTGAGGAAATAGGAAAGCGCATTCCATCTGGAAGCAAGATACACATAAATGAATCGCTTACCGCCTATGGGAAACGCCAACTTGGAAAAATACACAAGTGTAAGCAAGACAATAATTTCAAGTTTCTATGGACAGCTAATGGAACGACATATGTCGTGACAGCAAGTCTTTTCCTGCTTTTCGCTTCGCTACGTTTGAGGAGTCTAATAATTTTTGCAAGCCGCCTGGTTAATGGCTGCCATTTCAAGTATTTGTGAGTCGAACTGCTGTAGGTACCTACCATTTTTCAATCTTTCTGTTGCTGAATTTAATGCAGTGATTGGTAACTGGCGGTATGCCTTTGATACTGATCTAGATCTTTTTAATTTTCCCAAATCCTGATAAATCTGATGATAAAGATCCTGATAACATCAAGTCTTCGATAGTAGTAATTGTAATATCAGATTGTAATGTCAGAAGTCTTCCAAATATTTGTCTCTATTGAATGAGTTTTTTACATTTTGTCAACCACAAGCCTGATATCCTAGCCATGACTGAAACGAGGCTATCAACCCGGACAGTAATAAATGTTGATATCCTCAATTATGATTTCTTCCACACCTACTCACCAACACAGGCGGCGGTTCTGGGTCTCAAAATGTCAATGCCATTCATCGACCTGATTTAAAGTTTACCATACCATTGGTCGAATCATCCTGGTGTGAAATTACTTCAGGGAATGGCAGACCTAATATAATTGTTGGTTGCATTTATCAGCATCCTACCTGTAATTTACCCACTTTTACTTTTTTATTTGAAACTTTGCTTTAAGAAATAAGTCAGTATGAGAAATGCATTCTTGGGGATTTTAATATAGATCTCCTGAAATACAGTGAGCATTTATTATCTGAAGAGTACCTAACTATTCTAACAATTTACTACCTTTAAGAACAAAACCAACCAGGCTCACTTATCAAACTTCTACTCTGATCACAGGCAGCCCAAGCTCGAGAAAAAGCCAACGATTAATTCATGAACGCGTCACGTGTTGTGTGACTCGGTGTTAAATTACGAGGGGAACCGTTGAAAATTTGAACACGTTATAAGGAATAGTATGGGGAATGAAATATGGTTGATTTATAACGATAAATATTTCGAAATATGAATATTTTACACGTAAAATTAATAACACTTACTCACATCCTGTGTGTCCGTTGTAGTTTCCGGCGATTTCTGCTGTTTTAAGCTTGCTTTACCATCACTGTTATTTCTTCGTCTTTTGACACAAATAACAACGAGGGTGTCCGGAAAGCTAAGACCTAAGACCTAAGACCCGGAAAACTAAGACCCTGGCTTTTTTTAGGGGAAATCATCAAATTTCAGCTTCCTTTACCTTTAACTGGTAAAATGAATGAAATAAATCCACTCACACTTAAAAAATAACAATTTAGCTAGCCACAATGAGACTGTCCGCGTAAGAACAGATAAGGCAAATTTCGGCCCTGCACCGATTTCCCTAAGTTTTTCACTGGAAGTCAACAATATTATCCCATGTACAAATATCACATTTATTTTGATCAAATTTATTTATTTTATTTTTTACGAGACAATTTTAAAGGTCACCCTAGGAGAAGAAAGAGAGCTTTGTGAATTTCATAAATATCCGACGTCTTGATCGAAACCAACGATAACGCAGTCCGACCAGCAGACAGATTTGTAAAGCTTAACAGCCCTAAAAGGCTTAAAGGTGCAGGAACAATTATGTGATGGAGTATCAAGATCGATATTAATCATCATTTTGGCCTTTTTTTAACGAAATAAAAATACTTTTTAATTCCTATATGCAGATTAACTGCAGCCGATCGTGTTTATACGATACAGGTCACAAACAGTTTCCGTAACAACATTTAGCCATTCAAAGAAGTGTTTTTAAGAATGTGGAAACTCAATCGTTGTATCCTTTCTTGAATGCATTACGTAAAACTTCAAGAGCCATTTTCTTTGAATACAATGCGCTAACGGAATCCAGTTTGTTTTGATAAATAAAGTTGTTCATTTCGCTCGAGTGTTTTTATCTCGATAAAACACGGTCCGACAGTTTATTAATATAGGGACCGAGAACCACCTTAAAATC